CTTCCCACATTTCTCAGTTTTGGCCTCCATAGGAAACAGCCTAGGCTTTGGACCACGGTCCTGGCAGAAGCACAAATCCCTAATCCTGAACTCATCAGCAATAAACACTGGATGTACCAGAGCCAAAGGGGGCGGTGGAGGAGGAATTTCCAAGAGGGACTGAAATACCTACTCCAAACACAGCCGTGGATAGCGCCTCCCCTCCGCCAGCCCCACTCCTCTTCTTCCAGAGAGAGCTGCCCTTTGCCCAGCCTGCCCTGGGGTTTGCCCTATCCCCAGCTGTCAAATCTCAGTTACATTTCTCATCTTGGTTAAGCTTCTAGAGAGTTTTTTTTGGGATGCAGGGATAACATTGAGGTTGCTTTTGTTAAGCCTGACTAACTCATAATGCTAGTCTAACAGCCAACACAGCTTCTAAATACAAGCACTTACACCATGAAGAATTTTGGACTTTGCTGAGACCTGATTATTAAAATAAAAATTGTATCAATCATACCAACACAGAATTCCCAGTGACAGAGTTGCAGCCTGTCATCCTCATATTCTCAGATCAAAGAAAGTCAGATTAACTAATTTTCAACTTGGTGTCACTTCTGGGGTTAACCCCAAACCAACCAAGAATCAGTATATAGCCATGAAGAGGCATCTCTGGCTACCATTGCAAACAATGCTCACGAATGCAGCATACCTTCAAGAACATCTATTTATTAAGGACAAGACAGAGCAACGACTGATGCTTAACTCTGTCTTGATGGCTATTTAGGTCCAGGTTGCTCTAGCAGTGGCCATTTAAACACAGCAGAGTGATTTCACAGAAGAGAGGGGAGTTGTCTTGTTTTCTCTACCCTCACTTTGGTTTCTGTCTCAGCAGTCCCCTTTCTCAGATTCCCCAGTGACTTCCTATGGGAACTTGTTGCAATAGCAATTGCATGGGAACCTTAGCAGTGAGAGACCAATACAAAGACAACCTATTTGAATGGGATAACTGCCTGGCAGAATTTACAACATGGACTCCTCCTCCTGCTGAAGCATATTGCAGAATCTTTAAATCAAGCGTAGCAGCTTTTGTATTCAATGAAAATTTAATTCTGAATATTTTCAGTCAGGAAAAAATACTACTGTGAAACAAAGTGCTGAAAAGTTGTTTTGTTTTTTTTTTTGGTTTTGTTGTTGTTTTTTTTTTTTAAACATTACTTTGCTATTAACTCCCCCTGCCCTCTAAATGACACTGCTGTTCCAGAAATGCACCTGAGCAATACACAAGAGCAGTGTTTAACATTTCCCCCTTCAATGAAAAGCCTTCCACGAAGGCTTCTATTCCCCAACAAGACTACAGCGATCCTATTCAAAAAACTGCTACAGGATAAACAAAGGGTCATGAAAAGCAGTCAGATGCTTCAAAACACTCTTTTTAAAACAAGCAGGGAGAAGGGTAGAACCAGGTGGAAAGGCAGGTAAAAACCCCAAACCTTTAGGCAATGCAAGCCTTTATGTGATCTGGACCCATAGGATCTCCAGACACAGCAGACACCTCCTGTCCTATCCAATTCATCTCATCAGGTGCAGCCAATGCCTAACACTGTGCAGGTACTTCCAATGCTTTGGGAAATATCAAGGGTAGGTAGTATTTGAAGATGCATACCCATCTCCCAGACATGCCCCAGTGATTTCCAAAGATTAAAAGAGGGAGCATTCATTAGAACTAAAGCCTGAAATACACAACCCAGTGGTGTCACCTTGGCATGAGCCCCAGAGCTCCCAGTTCTTCCAATAGTGGATAATGGAGAAATTGTGCGGGAGCCAGGTGATTTCCTTCTGCTTTTTTCACCTCTGTCAGCCTCCGAAAACCAAAATATTCTCCAGGAAGACTATGTACAAAAAGCCAAAACCCAAGAGCCAGCCTGATAGTTTGTGACATTTCAATTAATGTTTTCAAACACCTTCCTGCCAATACAGAAATTTCACATCCTGAAAGACGCTCTCTTTGCAGGTATGCATATGTATGCACACAAACAGGAACAGAACCTTAACAGGTCAAAACAGATCGAAACCCATCCTAGACTTTTGAGCCTGAATGCCCCAGTCTGTCCCAAATTCAAGACATGAGAAAACCTTTCTTGCAGTATTACAAAAACTCCATTACCCTAGAAATGAAGAGGTGAAGGGCAAACACCACAAGAAAAGGCATTTACAAAGTTCTCCTTAACTTTAAGGAGAGAAAGATAAAAGTAAAGAGAATTATTATAGTAATTTAAATCCACTTTCAATGATAAATTAGACTCTCGGGCTGTAGTCATAAGCATTGAAATGCAGCAATGAAACCCATGTGATTCTGGGAAGCTCCAAAATGGAAGTTTACTTACTGAAGTACACTAATTCAGCAGGTCTACACTACAGTAGTTGAACACCATTCTCTGAAACCCCTGACTGTTTCTTAAGCAACTTAGTAGATACAGAGAAATCACTTAAAACCAACTTAATATTTCATTTAATGTGACCTCATCCTCTGTTTGACTACTGTGATTCCCAGTGATCTCATTCTCATTTATTCAAAGCTCTCTGGAAACATCTTGACAGATTCTGTGATTTTTCCCTCCATATTTTCTTCCTTTGAATTCACACCAGGAGGTCAGTGTTCACACGAGTCAGGTGATACAGACCTCTGGTGCCGAATGGGTATATACATAACTAACACAGCACAGCAGAAACTTCAAATATATTAATCCTACAATTTTAACTTTATTTTGGTTAAAGGAAAGAACCCAAATTCCAGTCTGAATATAAATATATATGAAGTGTACACAGACAAAACAGCAAAAATTCATTTTCACAAGCACTTCTGAAAGGCAGGTGTGTAACAGGACAGTGAAACTTTTCAGTACCACTTCAGTATTTTTATTATTTCCTCCTTCTTGCTCTTTAGTCAGGTCAAAAAAAGTCCCTGTACAGGTTACACCAAACATGCACAGGCATATTCAGCCCTTCTTTACTTAGAAAGCGCTCTGCTCCCTGGATCCTCCTTCAGCCTCTCTCAACCTCACTAAACCCCAAACTTCACATCGGGGAGTTAGTAAGGATCTGTAGAGACACGTAATGAATTCCAGCTATTGTCACAAGCTGCCATAATAGCTCCCTCACAAAACTGTCCTGAGCAAGCAGTGACAATTCCCAAGAAAAAGGCTCAGCATCAGTTAAAGAGAGAGGTTTCAGGCACAAGGCTTAATTACGTGCAGTGTCTGCCTTAGGATCTGTTTTGAACACAGGGTAGCACACAGGACTTACGCTGAACCACTTGAGAGAAGTGTATTTCACAGAGTGTGAAAGCTTGTCAAACAACACCTCCCCAAATTAAAAGTTGCAATCCTGTTAGGAAAACACTGCTAAGAATTTCATGTAGTCCACTTGTTAAGTCTTGCATAAAAATTAACTTACGGAGAAAAGCCACTTCTCAGCACTTTGTGAAGATGGCTGTTTCTAACATGAAAACCAATTTTGTCCATCCTTTCACTCAGTTTATAGCAAACTTACAGAGTTTTATCTACATAAATGAGTCCAGGCACCCTTAAATACTGCAGCTATTAGGAATCTCTGAAAACCTTGCCAACTTTCTCCTAGTAATAAATTTATATCTACTTCTCAGAAGGCGATTTAGGAATTTCTTGCATATGATCTAATCAATTGATTTCCCGGACTGTATTTCTGTAAATAAACACAGATCAGATCAGCATTTGCTTGGATCATTCGAACATCAAAAGCCACAAGTGAGCACCCACTTGTATACCCTGGTGTGACTCTAAAGATCCCACAGCAAAATTTAGATTGTAATGCTCTCTCCCGCAGCCGAGTGAACACCTACCAGAGTGTGGACAGAAGCTACAAACCCTTTATTACAACCAAGTCTCAATTTCCTGACTTATACTGGAAGGAGTGCAACTGTATGTGCTTTTAACAAATAGCCTAGAGCTGACCTGAGATACAATCTTTAAAAAGAACCACAAACAGCCAATATTAAATTGTTGAATACACCATAACTGGGGAAAGGAGCCAGAACACATTCCTTTATCTTTAGCAACTGACCTGGGGCAAAAGGCACACAGCAAGCAACAGATAACTTGCAAAAGGACACAAACTTTTTTTTTTTTTTTGCTTTGTAAAAAGTAAGATTTTTTGATGGGAAAAAAAGAGAGAGAGTACTGCTACAGACTCTTTAAGCATACTGTTTGTCACAAGCTAAAACCACACTGTCAAATGAAGGAACGCCACATTACAAAACACGTGACTGAGGAGATAGATAGTAACAACAACAGGATTAAAGAAGTCTTCTCTTATTTCCTGCAGATAGTACTATCACACCTAATTAATTGATACCAGGGTCACATGAGCCTTCGTTTTCCTCTTGGTTAAAAACATCTGTGAAGACACTTCTAGAAGATCTCATGCCCGGACAGGAAGAAGCTTCTCTCTTCATAAATCTAGTTCCCTGTCTACTGGGAACGGGGCTTATAGAGGCCCACAAAACCAAGTTATTGTTTCAGAACTTTTCAAGTGCAGTTAGATGACCTGTCAGGATAGCAAAAGTCTGAGCTCTACCCAAAGTTCCCACATGCACTTTCTAACTTTTTACTTTCAGTTAGCAAGCACGTATTCTTCAATTCCAGCAGATTTATGTATTTCAACTGCAGCAACTAAAAAACCGAAGTAAATTAAAAAATAATAATAATAATTAAAAAAAAAAGTCAAGCTCATCTTATACACAGTCCTGCAAAGAAAACAAGAGTAGCTGATCTCCCCGCTTTCAAAACACATAAAAATATTAGAATAGCTAATATCCACAGAAGCTGTAAATGCTTTACATCTAAATTCACATTTCTTTCTGGACAGTTTTTCAGAGCATCTCATTACCTGGGATCACAGCCCATATTCAAAGCAGAACTCAGTGATACTGAGAACCCTGCACTCACTGTGGGCCACCTAGGATTTCCTTCTCGTCAGCTGTTAACTGAAGCAGATCCAGCAGCTTCAGCCCTTGAGACAGAGAAGAATGAGCAGAGCAAGCCTTTTCCTCCTTGATACTAGCTCGGGGAATAAATGGATGTATAGGTCACACACCATTAAAGAGAACCCTTCTCTCAGGCATTTCATGTACTCAAAATCTGGGCCACAGGAGATTTTCTTACCCAAGCACTTCTGCAGCTTCATTAGAAGTGACAACATTTGCGGACTAAAAATGAATCCAAAAGTGCTGTTAAAAAAAACCAAAACAAAAACCAAACCCCTGACTATTTCAGAATCATCAATTTGGTGAAATAAAAACTAGCTGTGTGAATAGATCAAAAACCATTCACACCAGCAGAAAGCCCAAGAAAGCATTAAGTTTTGCACAGTCCTGTGGAAGCCCTGTCATTGTGCCACAGCTCCTCAAACAGTTATTTCAGAATCATTCTCAGAAAACAACGTATAATTTTCAAGTCCTATAATAGCACAATCCTGGGACAGGTGAATGGAGCAGATTATTCTGTCCCTTTAAGGCCAAACTATCAGAAATGCAGTCAAGAGAAATTGCTGTAGACACAAGTAGTCCTGACATATTGGCACAGGTTCACCTGAAAGCAAGAACCGAGGAAAACCAATTTTGAAGTTGCTGAAGGTTGTTCTTTAACTGTAGCTTCAGTTCACATCCTTCACTTTTTTTTTTTTTTTTTTTAAATCACCATACAGGAGGTTAAAAATGCTGCTTTGGTTTCACAAAGAGTGTATGTATGAATGTGCGCTTTGAATGCTGGGATGATCATTTCACAGAGGTTTTCATTCCAATTAGAAGTTTACTGTAACATCACCCAGAATATAAGTATTGGCATCCACCATTAGTAAATGGCCAGATGAAATGAATACACTTCCATCCCATTCATCATCACTTATAATCCATAAAGCAGACTTTCACTTGAAAGTGACTGTAGTCAGGTGCAATAAAAATCCAACTCATGCACTCAATGATTGCCCTTTCTAAAAGAGAAAAAAAAATGGCAAAGAGGGCAAAGAAAGCAAACAATCCCATAAACCAAAAGCACTTGGAAATAGAGGTTTTCCACCCAAATGGAAATGAACACAGATAAGACTGCATCACCTAGATGTGCTGAGCCAAGACAATCATCTTCCAAAAAGCACTGATTTGCATGGTGAGATTTGCATTTTCAGTAAGTGCACTACGTAATGCAGTTGGGTGGGAGCCAAACTACCAGTTATTAAGCTTAAAAGGATGAAAACCACTTCTCAGACTCCAAGAAGGAAAACTAATAGCTATATGCTTCAGACCCATTTTTGATGAGTCAAAGTAATGCAATACCCAAAGAGCTTCTGTCCCTATTCTCACCAATATTATCACTTGCTCTGTGTCCCTGCATCAGGTCTAAAGGAACCACTGCTACATAATAAGAGTTCTTGGCTCCTGGTTTCAGTCAGGAAAGCTAACAAATGCCAGCTAGAATTTCCCCAAAATAATCTGATAACAAAATATCATGAGAGGATTGTGGCTGCCGACTTTATTTCTGTTTTGTATCAGACTACAGCTCCTCCCTGGACAAATCACTTCCTATGTCACACTTGTCACCAGCCAAGACAAGGCGGCCACCATTACACCATGATGAATTGTCAGCATGTTTCCTTCCCTCCTACTCAACCCCCAAATGGATAAAATATCCCCCAACTAACTCACGGAAAACAAAACCAAGGAAGGGATGGGAACAGTGACAACTTACCTGAAAAATTCCGAGACACAAGCATCGTTGTGAGGATTGCGCCCTGTGGGGAAGAGAAAGCAGGGATAACAAACAGCATCACTCACTTCAGAAAGGGGCTGGGCTGACCCATGGAGAACACAGTGCATCAGATGCAAAGCAGAGGTATCCCAGTGCTATCTTGGAATGTCCTAGTGTATCCAGGATTCACACATGTGGCTGTTGGACCTGACACGGGACCACTCAGAGTCCTGCTTTTCCAGAGCAGTGGCTAGAGGCTAGGCAGGACTGCCTAGGAAATCTACAATGGCACTAAGAGTTATGTTTAGACACATAGTTGCTTCTTCACTTCCAAATAGCAGATAGTTGCTGGATGCACAGGCTTTGCCCTAGTTACAGGCAGCTGATACAGTATTACCGGGAGGCAGAGAGAGATCAGAACTAAAAGCCCCAGGATTTAAGAACTAGTTGCTCTAGTTCAACTCTCTTGCAGGAAGTAGAAGGGGTGATTATGTAGCAGAAGAGGTACAGGAAACTTAGAGCTTCAGAGAAAGAAACTACCCAGCTCCTCAGTACACTTTAGTACCCTGTACTGGAGGACCACATAAGGTACTTCACTAATCTTAGTGAGCTAATAATAAAAAAAATATTGTTGCTAGGAAGGTATTAACCTCAAATTCAGAAGATTAAAAACAAACTTAAGGCAAACTAACATATACTTACCTTTAGCTTCCTTCTAGCATTGAACTTTCTCAAGCATTCCACAGTCTCCTGCCTGTGCATCATTGAAGCCACAGTGGATCGTTGCTGAAAAACAGGAACAGCAAGAGATCAAGAACATACCCTAACCAAATCAGCCAGGAGCATTATCTCCACTTGCACACAACCATGGCATTTAAGCTGACATTGCCAAGCCTCTCACCACTGCATGACTGCAAAACACTGCAACCACTTCATAACTTAAGAACTTCCCAATACAGCAAGACATAGTAAGTCAAGGTTGGCTATTACAGGCCTGTGCCCAAGAAACTCTCTGAACTGAGGTACAGGGGAGAATCAATGCTCCCTGACACACAAATGGATCAAGACAATAATAAGACAAAGTCAAATGTACAAGCATACCCATGGGAACCGAGTTTGAGGCACTACAGAAAAGATCTGGGTTGCATTAGTTACAGCTCTAAGGGAAAATTCCAAGCAGTAAGTGAATACTAGTGAGCAGTAGCCTTCCTGGATGCGGCAACTCCCTGAATGCAAGAACTTGACTAGCAGAGGCCTCAGCATCTCTGCATCAATTTTGCAGAAATAGATTTTCAGTGTGTAAGAGGAAAGATCCTATAGCTCTGTTGTACCAATGCAAAAACCTGAGCATAACCTCTGGGCAGTGATGCACACCTGTCACCTACAGTAGACTGGGATCCCATCAGCTACAAAAAGAGAACTTCCCAGAATTGTTGCCAGTCATTGGGAGCACATGAGGAAACAAGAGACTGATGCTGCCAGGCATTTAGAGCACATGAGGAGACCAGAGACTAATGCCAAATTAGCTGTTGCTCTTGCATAGATCCACAAGCCTGAATTCCCTTTACAGGGACAACGGGTTAATGACCAACTTGGCAGATCAGGGTGTACAAACCCTCCATTACCTTTCTCCTGCTTGGAGAAAATTCTGCAATACCCAGTGTAAACCATGCTCATATTCAGCTGGTTTCATGGAAAGTCTCTGATCCTGTCAGCAAAGCCAGTCACCTGCTGCAGTACACACAGCAGCATGGAGGGAGAATGTAGCTCAGCTGTCCTCTTAACAACTTTGATGGTCACTGTTCATTCAGCCTCCTTAGGAGCAACAGTGATGGCCAGTTGTTCAACATGGGCTTAAGAATGTTGGGACACATATTTCAGAAGTTCAGTGATGCTAAGAAACTCAGCGTCTCAGATAAACTGTTAAGATTTCCTACCACATTTATTTCAGAGGAGCAATACATCTCCAGAAAGAAAACGTGCTGCACACGCAGAGACTGCAGAGCAAATGGAAACAACAGACTCAACAGGAGGCAGTTTGAGTGAGAGGCCGAAATGGCTGTGAAGTGAAATTGAACTCCCCATGACTTAGAGACGGAAAGCCTCTCTTGAACTGTTCTATATTGTATTGCTACAGGGAGCGAGCTATTGTAGCACACACAGCTTTGGTTCCAGGCATTGGGACAAAAGTTAAGTATACAGGAACTGCCGTTGATTACAAGCATGCAAGGAGAAAAAAAACAGAGATGCAAAGTCTCAGCTAGTGTGAATTTTTGACTTCCAAGGAACGTGCATCACTTCACAGCAGACACGACACTACACTCCTGTTACATAGAAGTAAGTTTAAATTGCTAATTTGTTGTTTTGTGGAGGAAGGAAAACAAAACCACTACAGTTTCTCAAGAAAAAAAATGAGTGAAGGAACACGCTACACATCCTAGAAAGCAGAAGTATGCTATGGTATTACAAGAGCATCTGGTTAGACTTAGGTGGAACTATTTCATCCTGTAGAGATAAAAGTGCTGCCCTCCCCTACGCCCACTCCCAGCTGCATTCTGGGATTTCCTTGCCAACTTTGCAAGAGATGAAAAATATTCATGTGTGGGGTCTGGCAAGGCAGAAACTACATACGCAGAACAGCAAAAAATTTTTTGCTGATTTCAGGTTCACAGTCAGCTAAACTGCAGCAGAGCAGAAATGTTCCAACACTGCAAAGATGCAATGCAATAAACTGAAGTAGAGATGAAGAACAAAATAATTCTAAAATATTTTGTCTGATGCCAAACTCCATCTGACCTTTTAGGATGATATGAATTGTGAGAGATGTGGGGAAAACCAGAAACTATGGACAAAACTTATAAAAAAATAAGGGATTTTTTTTTTCCTACAATGGCAATAAAAGCTCCACAGCATGACAAAGTTGGCTTGTTGAAGGTCAGCCTCCAAAAAAATCACATTTTAAAATATCTAAAATATTCTGGGCTCCTCTGCAGCTAAGTCTTGACATGTCAGTTCAGGGTAAACCACAAATTAATCCATAATAGAGGAAAACACTTACGCAGACCCATGGATGTTTGAGAGCCTGGTCAGCGGTGATGCGCTTTGCTGGGTTTATCGTCAGCATCTGGTTGATCAAATTCTTTGCTTCGGGAGTCACAGTGTCCCACTCAGGTGATGGGAACTGAAAGAGGAAGAAGGAACAGATGATGAACTGAAAATACCTTCTACTAGCAGAAGAGATTGTCCCTCCTACACAGCTGAATTCCAGCTTTTGCCCTTTTGATACCAGGGCTAACATATTTGCAAAAACCATTAATTTTTGTGAAAATACACACTGAATGAAAATTGTAAAGAATCCAGCAAATGAATGGTACCAGACAGCAGGACACACCTGTACCATTCACCAGACACAGGCAGGAAGATAAAACAGCTTAAAAGCCTTTTAGGAATCACTCGGACCTTTGAATTCCTTTCATACTCAACAATCAAAAAAGTAAAGTCACAGATCTTTTTATCTGAATTCTGACATAAAAAACACAAGCACTATCCTTTTTACCCCACCTTGCTCTTTCTCCAGCATGCTAAAAAGCTGTAACAGCATATGCAACATCACAAACACTTAACTCCAGCAAAACCTCATGAAAGCGAAAACCCATCAGGTATACTTTCCCCACCATAAAGCACAATATTCTGGAACAATACCAGTCACTTAGGTGTAGAAACCCAGCAGCAAAAGTTGTTAGCAAGCATCTACCATACCAGAAATCATTATATGGGGAGCAAGAGAGATGTAATAGTGGATGGGAATACAGAAGCATGGAAACGAAGGAAAGAATCTCAAGTATTTCAGTTGTTGATCATCCATGAGGGGTAACTGCTCTCTCCTATAATTCCAGTAAAGATAAAGACGAGATATTTATGCCATCCTCCAGATGCTTGCATGTAGTATAAATGACAGCATGCTGAGATTAAATGCAGCACATCTCATTCCTATGAATCTACTGTACAAATACAGGTAAACTAGAGAACACACTGATAAATGTGCTGTTGGGATAAAAGTCCCCTGTCTTTAAGCAGGGGGGAAGATTGACCTATCCTGAGAATGTTTCCTTACAGCACTACAACATGTAGAAAAAGTTTATCCCATCTCTTTTCTCCTGCATTTTGTGCTTTGCTCTGTTGGGTCATAAAAATCACCCATCATATTTGATTTGCATATAATCTTATTTCTGCATTCTCAGGCATCAGCAAGGCATTATACAATTTGTTCTGCAAACGTTGCAAGAGACTATTAAAACATTATGATACTGAGCTTTCATCCAGGACGCTTTCTCCCTACCCGAACTCTGAAATAAGCAAGCTCCCTACCCAACAGCACAAAGTCCAATTCACAGTTGCCACTTCCTCTATGGTCAAGAGGTAACAACAGACCAGTCCAGTGCAGACTCGGTGCCAGGATAAGGACACCAGGGGCAGGTACGCCAATAAAATTTGAGCTGTTTTCTACCAGGCAAAACAGGGGAGGAATCTACTAGAACTTGTTCATTATAGGTAAGAAGTCAAAAACAGTAGGTAGATAGGAGGCATCAGGCACTTCACTCTTCATGACTTACAGAAAGAGTTAGACATTTAACCCCTGAAGTGCTTTGAAAATCCACATCGATATAATTAGTGCAAAACCACTTCAAATGAAAACAAGCAACACAGAAACAAGAGGGGCAGGAAGGCAAGAGAAGAACACGAGCCCATCTAAGGCTATCAGGTACAAAGACATGACTTTCCTTTCACTCAGGAAGCCACTGAGCCAGGACATGGGGTTAGGCAGACCTTTGTTCTCACCAGTACAGCCGCTCTCATGGTCTCAGGCACAGAAGCTGGGAGGTAACCGGGGTCCAGCAGAACCCTTGCCTTTTTTTTTTTTTTTTTTTTTTTAAATACAAACCACAAGACAGCCTACAAAATGAACTCCCCAACTTCCTCTTGATGTTCATGCCCACAAGCTTTGAGCTAGAATTTCCAGGAGTTCCTTCTTCCCTCTTGAGCCTCTCTTTACATGGAACAATGTATGTCAAACATTCAAGTTGTGGTACCCAAACCACATTTTACACCACCTTTGCTCCCCATTACTAACCTCCTTGCTATTCCTCTCCTTCAGGCACCTTTTTACACCTCAGTTTTGCCATGCTCTGAGAACTGTTCCATGAGCTGCTTGGCTTTCTACCAGAGCCTCCAACCCACCACGCTGATCCCCAACACAAAGCCACCCCTCCAAAGTCCCCTGCCATTCAGTCTTCTCACTGGGCTCCACACTTTTCATGGCTGGAAGAAATTCCACTATGGCACTGAGGAGACCAGAGGCCATAATTTAAGCTATTATTCTACAGGATACTTCCCCTTACTTTTAATTAGGCCTTGATAAAGACAGGCTCCTTCCCTCTGCTCCCTTGAAAGAATTAGCCTTGGGTACATCTGCAGCACTCTGGTAAACACACTACGAGACACCATCTCCCACCATCTGCATTTCCAGCTCTGCGTTTCCCTAACGGCCAGCAAGGTCTTGGTGCCCACTGCGATGCTTTCCACATATCCTTTCAGTAGCCCCAAACAGGAATGTATCCCAGGCAGTGAAGACAACAAGGTGTATGAACACGCCAAACATCACTTTGCACAGTAGCTTGGGGCCTGCTGCTGGACACCAGGTAAGATAGTGCCATGTTTTGGATGGCTTCTACACCCATGCAGGTACTCAGCAAGAAAGTGCCCTTACGTCATAGGCTCCGGCTTTGATCTGCTGATAGAGTTTGTGCTGATCTTCATCCCAAAAGGGAGGGTACCCCACTAGTAATATGTACAGAATCACTCCTGGGAGGGAGAGACACAGATACACTATGGTTAGGCTAATACGCCAATTATTCCTTCAGCCCCTCTTCCTTCCCTCTTGACAGTCCCCAAGGCAATGATTGCTCTATATCTTCACTTGCCATCATATTTAGCCGTCTGAAGTAGAAAAAGACAGTATGAACCTGCTGAACCTCACCCTGGCACTTCATGTTCAGCTCTTAACACCAGCTGCCAGGAGCTAGAACAAAGTGCATGATGTCCTTCTACCCTCCTCTGGCTATCATGGCTGGTGAGCCACAACTCCCAGCTGCTCTCAGAAAAAAATGAAGCCACATCCCCTGGGGCTGCTGGGCAGCAAGGGACTTTTTAGGAAGGACTAGGTTTTTAGATGCTTACTGTGCATGGTCTTGGGACAAAAATGCTACTGACAAAGCTAACACTCCCAGCCTGCAGAGAACCATTTAGTCCATGTCAGGCAACACTGATACACTGATATCACATATCTTTAGACTTACTGGTATCCGATATATTTACACTTCACTTTTTCATCTTAAAAAAATCATGTCTCTTTAGTATTTCATCTTCTACATAGTGTAATAGGAAATTGCTACAGTTATCTAAACAACTGACTCTGCAAAGCATAGACAGGTCCTATCTCTTGAGTCTCAAACATCTGATAGATGGCCTGAGGAAAGGATTAGGAGCCAAAATCAAGTGAATTCAGGCTCCAATATTAATTCCATCTACACAAGGTGCTTATCCTCAAGTGTGCCTTCATCTCTCCACCCAATAAGAAGGAGCACTGCACACCCTCCCAGCAATAAGTTATAAGGAATTGCTCTTCTACATGAAATGGTGTTGTTTAAGTGTAAAATGTTTTGGCAGAATCTTACCACATGCCCATATATCCACTGGTTTTCCATAAGGATCTTTTCTTAAGACTTCGGGGGAGAGGTAGCCTGGAGTGCCAGCAAACCCTGCCAGGAAATGGATGACATGAAGTACTTACAGTACCCAAGCAGAAGAGATCTCGCTATGTCACAAAATCCACTACTGGTAACCAACAAATTCCAAAACCCATTTCCCACCCTTCATCTCATATTTGCTAGAGCTACCTCTTTGTAAACCGACAGAAAAAGGAGGGGGAAGGAAAAAAAAAAATAATAAAAAAATCAGATGGGATCGAGTGTTTGTGTGTTGCAGGAAAAACAGAGGAAAGAGGGAACATGTCAACCAGCTGGGCACAAACTCTTACGCCAGGCCTTGTATTATTGTTACATATAATGGCTTGGAGTTTGAAAACACAAGACACAGATGGGACACATTCGATTGCCAAATGGTATGGACAGACCAGGAGAAGCAGCCATCTCTTCACAATCTCCACAGCACTGCAGAGTCTCAGAGCTGATGTTTAGCCTGAGGTGGTCTCATTTCTAATTACGTTTTAGCTAAACAAAGATAAGGCCAGATCCAAATGTGCCTGAGGAAGGCCAGGTCAAATGCATTTCTGTAAGATGACCAAACAGAATTCCAGATGTCTACACTCCTGAGCAGTAGGAAAGTTCAGATCAGGGTCTAAACTTAGCAGCTGCATTCATCTCTGACACTAGTATCTACTGTAAACAAAGAAGAAAAATAGAGGAATACATAGCCATTTTTTCTGTCTTTATTTATCATATTCTTTCCTGTATTGCACATAGGCTCATGCCCAAGGACCCAGAGGCTCTGAGATGCTTGGAAAGGAAGCAGCAATGCCAAATACACGCGAGTGTTCTGGAAGAGCTGTGAGAAAGTACTCAGGGAGTATGCAACTCAGCCAGCCACCAGAGAAGGGGGGAGCAAAAGTGGGAAAGCTCAAACGCTCTTACCAAACCAGGCCTGCTGCTCTCCCTGGACTTCTATAGCCAGTCCGAAGTCAGCCAGTTTGACAGCAGCACCCTTACATTTACTTGCCAGTAGTAAATTCTCAGGCTGGGGAGAAGAAAGAAAAGAAGGGGGTAAGAACGAAAGACTGACATCCTCATTAAAGCCTCCTACCTCAGTATTCACATAATTAAACTGAATCTGCTGGCTGAATTTAGCAGGCATGTACTAAAGCTGGTCAGGTGCAGGCAGAGCAACAGCAACAAATGGCCTTGACCTAGAGTGGCAGAAAATCCTCAAGTCTAAAACAAATCCTCTGTGGGAGCCAGAGCCTCTCCCAACCCAGCCCATATGTTACATGCAGACACCAGAGGGCACTGGCAGTACAGTTCCTGCAGCACAAGACCCAAAATTTGTTTCTGTCATCCCCAAAGACAGTAACTGGCGGGGCGGGAGGGGGAAAGATGCAGTAGGTACAGTCTGCAGTGGTGCTTCTCCCCATGAACATTACACGGTACTCAAGGCACTGGAAAAGTAAATACGATGCTAATAAGGCTGCCAAATACAGCGCCATAATGTGGGAAGGCATCATCTGGATAGGCAGTAGCTTTCATCCCTTACAGAAAAAGCCTCAGCCTCGAATTGGCATAAGCAGCACAGCAGTGAGTATTCTTGTAAGCTGTTTTTTCACGTTACATATTTACAGCAGTGTAAAATATGTTGTCTTGCTACTGCTGCTGTCACCTATACGACAAGCAGCCATGTCACTTCTCCCATGTGCCAGGAAAGGGGGACAGACTTTTTTGCCCCTCACATTTCCACCTCACATGAATCTCACTCAAATCATAATTCTGTTGTGTTCCAGCAGAGGACTTCAGCAGAAGGCTTAACACAACTCCAAAAATTGTACTGAGAGTCAGCAGCTTCCTCTGCAGCACCACAGCAGCTAGTTACATGGGACTCTCTGAAACCCCGAAGTCTTTAAGGTGGTGGCTATTACAGGTCTGCAGGAAACCCAACTTGTAGACAGGACAAATGTGATTTCTCATCCTACTCGCTTCTGATCATTTGTGCAATTCATATCAACTTGAGTTTTTAACCAAGCAAGATGGAAGTCTGGAAATGCAGAAACAGGAGCTTGTCTCTGTTTCACAAATCTGATGAAGGTCTTTTTTTTGCCTGCTCAGTTTCATCCCACAGCAAAGCTCTATCCCCGTTCTGCCTGACTGGAACAAGATACTTTGCTCATTCACCTGCCTTAAATACTGGGTATGTGCCTTACTTCTGCTTTGAACAAAGGGAGAACAGCCTTGCCCATCACAGTCCTTGCCATAAGCAGCGTGGAAGGAAGGGGAACTGGGTGTCAATACATTTGGATGCCACTGGCTTTTCACTATATGGGAAGTGGAGAAGATTGCGTTAATCAAGCTACACTGATGAGAATCCACCAGTGTAAACAAGTCCCTACAGCAGAAGACCAGTGAAGTCTTCTGAAAATCCCTCCCCACCTCAGATAACACCTGGGCTTGGCTTGACTAAGAAACTGAAATTTAGGCCACGCTTCGCTAGCTAAGCACTATTTGCTTCTAAAATGCAGCTACCAACACCTTAAAGCTAACGGTGCTTATCCATGTGCATGTTTGCCAACATAGGGGTTGTCTCAGGTTTCACATACTTTTTGGTAAGGATGTGAATGCATTCCCTAATTTCTTACGGTCCTTATGGGCAGCTCAACATTTGAAGTTCTTTAAGAGCATGTCAGCCAAAAGACAGGCTTATGAGAGGGAGGTGCAAAAGACAAAACTTAACTTGAAGCAAGCTCTGCACACTGATCGTGAAAGCCAAGCTTTTGGCAAGGAGCTAAATATTAAACAAAGGGCACAGGATCTTTTATTGCTAAAAGGAATAGCTAGATAGTTTCAGTGAATCAGAGCAAGCAACAGAAGAAATACATTAACTACAGTAGGGAGTGTCTAGCAGGTGATAAGTTCTAAACGAGTTCAAAGCTTTCACAAAAACATGATTTGGGAAGCAAACCAGATTGTATTGAACACAGGATGAGAAAGAAAACTTAAACCATCCTGTACTGGAAAACACTACTGATTTTCATAGAGGCCCTAATTTTGGGCAGTAGTGCCTCTTGGAGGCTGGTTTCTCAAGAGCAGGTGTCAGCTCTAACCCAGAACAGCCATTCTGCAGTAGATCACTTGCATCTTTTCATGGCGCTCTGAAGCAGAAGGCCAAAAGTGTTGCACGAGAGTTTGCCAGAAACACTAAGGGTTAACAGCTGTTCACTAGATCAAAACACTGGGGAACATAGTCATCCAGCTTGCAACATGCTTTTACCTTGCTCTCTGCAAAATATTTTTATACTTTTCCCCTTATGCATTGTATAACAAACCAAAATCAACACTAGTAGCAGGTGTCATCCTGCATTAATTTAACTGGACCACTGGTGGCCATCACCATTCCCGCTTTAGACAGGGAGGGCTGCAGGGCAGGCAGAGCTTCCTGCACAAAGCTCTTCATTCTGGAGCCTGCCCAGCTCCCAGTACAGCTGGCACTGCGTGGGAAGGGAGTTTAAGTAACTACACTGCAGGGGCTCTGGGTCTGTAAATGTGTTATAATGTGGCAAATGGTTGATTCACCCAGTGTTTAACTGGCCAGCAGTTTTGGTTTTAGATTAAAAGCACTTCTACTGATGAGAGAAGAAAGAAATGACACAAAAAATTCTTGTAGTGCATCTCTGCCCTAGCCCATTGCATGTGTTTGGCAACAGTACCGAATAAAAATATACATGCTCTGTGCAGACGAACTCATCCTGGCAGATTGAACAGCAATTGCCCCAGGTCTCTTGAGATCTCTTCAATGGCAGACTAGAAAGTGTCCTTCATTATAATGAATACTACCCAAGTTTCTCCGAAAGCCTACTGCACTCCAAGGTTCATAACTACTCCCTCCTGGAGCTGCCTCAGAGAGGCTGAGAGCTGGCAAGGTTCATGAAGACTGAAAACTTCCTCAGGAGTTCAGCACACCCTCTAGAAAACTCTGAAGGAGTGAATTTGTGCTTCAGGAACCCCTAAGCCCAGTTCAAGTGAAAAAAAAAAAAAAACAAAACCCTGCCAGCTGGCAACACAGTATTCCTGTCTTGCCTCTTCCAATGATCCCCTGGCTGCTCTCCTCAGCCTCTGTGGCACGGAGGAAATATTACCTTCAAGTCCCTGTGCACGATATCATGCTGGTGAATGTGATTCACACTCTCCAGTATCTGATGAATACAGTGGCTGCAAGATAAAGGGAGAGACACACAGAGTTATGGACGAACACACATATACTTGTCATCTCATGTCATCCCAGGACCATTTCCCTAACTTCTGTATTTGTACCAGGCAGAGTTCAAGACCCCAGGCTGAATCCCTTCATCACACCCACTGGATGCCACAGCTCAGTACTGTCACATCTGGACACCCCCAGCCCCCTCAGCAACAGGATACGAAACATCCTATCTACGGCAGGACCACAAAGCCTCTCTCCTACCTCCCATCACCTCCTTCCTCTCCTCCCCCCCACACTAAGCATCTCACTCGTTCCGTCAGCCAATAGTGCCCACCTGGGACAGGAGAACCAAGGCACCTGACTATCCACAAACAGCATCCGATATTGGGCAAGCAAGACCCAGTTGCTCCAGGAAACATTCAGCTGCGCTAGTCCTGAGCAAAGCACAAACTTTTAGAGAGCAGCAGCCTCCCCCAGCAAATTCAGGATGACGACTCCTGGGTGCCTGCCAGTTTGCAAAGCTTTCAGAGCAGCATCTCAGGCACTTTACATACACAATGTGCACACACACCCGCTTGCTGGGTGCCTTTTAAGTACAGATCCCACTTAAGGGGTTAGTGATCTGAAAAGCAGACTCATTCCCTGTAAAGCGCAGTGTGCGGCACTCCCCAGCTCACAGAAAACCGTGTCCCTGCCACCCTCACTGCTGTAATCACAGGGGCATAAGCAAGATGTTATTTACACCTGTCACGTAAGGACAGCGTAACACACCCATGGGTCAGACTTCTGCTTGAAAACATCTCTTCTGCTAAACATTTACTCAGCTCCCACGGGTGAATGTGGAAGGGAGTAGGGATTTTGACAACTATGGGCAGTAAGCACCCAGCTGTGGGCAACTCAAATGGGTCTGTGTCCTCACTGCAGGAGCAGTCAGTCCACTCACAGAATTCTACAAATCTCAGGGCAATGAATTTGAAATGAGTGAAACATTTGAGGGAAGGGAAATTGGCGACTGTAAAAGATGGAAAGAGGGTGAGGGGAGGAAGAGGAGAGGAGGCGAAGCACTATATATTTGTTACCCCCACCCCTCCAGAGCTGGCAGTACAATCCTCAGGGTCGGAGTCCATGAATATCTCCCCGCTCCCAAAACAAAAATGTATAATTAGAACAGAGCTGAGTCTCAGCGAGAGAGATTTTCTGGCCAAAAATGGCAAAAGTGTGAGGTGTCCCAGGCGAGCCAAGCGCGGCGGATTGGCACGGACCTCACTCCCTCGCTCTCCCAGCCTGCTCTGGAATTCAGCTCGGCATGGGGAGAGAAAGGGAGGAGTTTCACTCTGTCATCTTGTGGGCACTGCGAGACCTGGCCATCTGACAGTCAGAGGGCTGAGCACCCTGAGGAAGGCTCACAGAGCAACAGACAGTTCTTTTACCCTAACCCTGCCATAATTTTCCTGAGCAGCATCAGTCACTGCCAGCTCTTGACCATTTCAGGGAACAGGCACTGGCAAGAGGGACAGGGGGAAGGATCATGATTGATAACCTCAAAACTTCCCAACTTCAAGGCAGAACAGCTTCAGTGACAGTGTATCTGTCTGAGGTGTTGTGCCTACAACATCTGTACGCCCCACTGCAGTGGAGCACATGGTACAGTGCCTCATTTGAGAGCATCGTGCAATGCCCAGAAGACAGAGGCTGTAAGCGTACCACAGGAAAAGCAAATAAATACCCACAGACTCCACAACAGTACCTATACTAACACACCAGGTCACACTCTTCCCTTCCTTGCACTCAATAGGATCTTCCTCGCAGCACTGCCTATCAAGCTCACCTTACAGCAGCAGCCACTACTCCCTTCTTACTGCTCTCCTCTCACAGCTCCCCTAATTCCTGCT